TAGAGGGTAGCTGAATGGCAATGTGTATTTGATCTTATATTTAGAGGGTAGCTGAATGGCAATGTGTACTTGATCTTATATTATTGGGTAGCTGAATGGCAATGTGTATTTANCAATCTTGTGTAAGTTAATGTATATATAAGTAATAAACTTAGAGGGACACTGAATGGCAATCTTGTGTAATTTAGTGGTTGTACAAGTAATAAACTTAGAAGACACATGAATGACAATCTCATATAAGTTAATGAATACTAATAACTTAACTTTGAGTGTAGCTAAATGGCAAAATCAAGTACATTTTAAATTTAGGGGGTAGCTGAATAGTTATCTCTTATACGATTATTATAATTATATTAAGAATACAGTAAATGTATAAAAAAAAAAATATATAAATCCACATTGTGATACATGTACATGTATTACCTGAACAATTACATGAGATATATACGACGGCTTAGTAAATAAAACAGTGACTGATAAACGTAGAGGGTAGCTGAATGGCAATGTGTATTTGATCTTATATTTAGAGGGTAGCTGAATGGCAATGTGTATTTGACCTTAGAGGATAGCTGAGTGGCAATCTCAATACCATATTATTGTTATTTGAGTACATTTAATGAACTTTGTATTATTTTCCCCAGGTAAATAGACACCGGGAACATTTATTGAACTACATCATTTTTCTGAGAATCACACCATTTTTGCCAAATTGGTTCATCAACATTACTGCACCAGTCATCAATGTGTCCCTTTTACCGTTCTTCTTCGGAACATTTTTTGGTAAGTTCGGCTGTGTATTTCTAAGGAATACCATGAAAAAAAGGAACTATGTAACTCTCCACATACGTTGAAGCAAATGTTTTGACTACATATTGTATTCTAATACAATACTGATTTTAGTCAGACATGAGGAATTCCGGCTTTGCGTATTACAGAGTTATCTTCTCTTGGGAGCAGGTATTGATTGTTACGTCACTTGTTTGAGAGGGTAACGCCATCAATTTTTGAGAAAACGACGTAATTTTCTCGCACAAACCAATGACGTAACAATCAATACCTCCTCCCAAGAGAAGATAACTCTGCAATACGCAAAGACGGAATAGACCATTTGAAAGTGTTGTATCATGTCAGAATGTATACTGATTAGTAGAGGGTTTAAATACTGCCAACAGCCTGTGAACAGGACTTTAATAAATTTCAATCATTTAGTTATATTAATTATGATTTCTCATTTTCTGGCAAGCATTGATAATCCTTTATTGAACAGTTGAAGAGGCCACTAGGCTGAAAATACTGTATTTCAAAGTAGATTAACCAGCCAACCATGATACTTGAAAGTCCTTGGTTTTCTAAATTCTGTACCTATTTCTGCATTAGTGCATATATATGTATCGATGGGTTCTGTAAGATTATTGCATGAAAACTATTCTGAGCAAGTATTTCAATATCAGTCAAGTACATTTCATGCATTCACAGCTGTGGGAAATAATATCCTTTTTCATATATTTTTTTAACCCTTTCACCCCTATGTAATGTTACTAAACTCTACCATTCATGTATCTGGGCGAGTCCATTATGGTCTACAGTGGTGAAAGGGTTATATACAATGCATGTAAAAACTTAATCTTGTGTGTTGTTTCTCTGTAGGAGTGATACCTCCATCCTTTTTGGCAATCCAGGCAGGGACAACGTTACAACAACTGTCATCGTCGGGGGATGCAGTTTCCTGGACATCTCTCATCGTTCTCTCCATCTTTGCCTGTTTATCTCTCCTTCCTGTCTTCCTCAAGAACAAACTCAAGGCCAAGTTTGATTGATAATTACTGAAACTTAGACCTCTTTGTATTTATGATATATAATGATGCATCTTTGTACAATATCTTAACCTTACATGGACATTTTATCTACTGGCTACACATATTCTATGGATAAAGGAGAAATTGGAAATGAGCCCTAAGGACTAGGCCCTCTAGGTGTATCATTGTTTTTATGGGTCATTATTCTTTAAAAGCGTCAGAAATAACCATTTTTTCTTGACTTTTACATTTTTCAACTAGCTCATGTTCTTTTTTAGTCTCCAATGCAAAGTTTGATTAGTACGGTAGAATTTCTTGATTTTATCAGAACCTGAAAAAACACATTCCATATCCTTATAACTTCTAACAAAATTGACTGCTCATAAATCCGCTTATCTACTTTATATAAGTTATTTCAACCTATAAATCTTATCATTGAATGATGTGGACAAAAACTGACTGTATTTAATGCATTATATTGGTATGTGATTGGTGTACAATATGTACAATGAAAGATTTGATGAACCTTAAACATTTTAAATTATGGCTGAAACAGGGATCACTCTTCCACAGTGGGTACATGTTTCTCTTGTCTTGTGTTTTATTTCGTATCACTGAAATTTAAATAATTATAGATTCACTCCATCATCAACTCTTTGAAATATAAAATGCAATTACTTGCAATGATTTTGCACTTCAGTTGCATGCAGTCCAGTCTAATTAGCTATTTCGGTGCCAATGACCACATTTCCTTGGCAACAGCATAGATACATCACCTTGTATACCTTTCTGGGAAGAAAATTTGTGACAGATTTATGTAAATGGCGTCTTGATTGATGAAAACAACAACAACAATTAAATATTGAGTCATAGTCTCAGGTACTCCAACAATGTTAGAGGTTTTACACGGCGAAAAACTTTTGACAGGCGCCGCGTAAGAGGTCGCAGTCGGCAAAATCATATCCGATTGGAAAAAGGCCGACCAGCGCCCTCTCATGTTATGGGAGTAAGTCTCAGGGTTATGGGGAAATCACAATTATTGGTGGAGGGGAACTACTTGAGAATAGCATTACTACGACCATCAGGAGAATCTAAACATTTTTGACCCAATATTTTTGCCGAGTACCGTCAAAGGCTTGAGGAAATTAGTGTTATTTCAACCATTATACAAGAGACTGTAATTATAATTTCATGCTTGCTCACTTCTGGTTTAAATAAAATATATAAAGGTAAATGACTCTATTAAAAAATCTTTCATAGTTGTAGAGGGATTAATGTTTACACGACAGAAAAAGTCTGGACTGTGTCCTTAAGGATAGTTTACTGGCATCATTTAACTTTTTATAAGGTCTGACTAAACTTTTAGAGATTAAAAATACTGATTTTTTTACAGTGGATATAAGCCTATGAACCTATGTTACGCTTCATCATCTATCATCAGCATTTTTCTTTTAATAACTTTGTAATAAAACATGGCCTGTAGCTTGTTTGGTAAATGGCAGCCAATTTTGTACATAAAATTTACCTGACACATTAAAAAGAAATGTGTTAAAATCTGCAAACAACCTCTTACCAAGTATTAGGCCTAGAGTCATTACAGTAACACAGTAGCTTGATAAGGGCTTTCAGATTCGTCCAAAAAATTACGATATAGTTGACCTACCTTCAAGTTCACGAAGGTAAAATGTGTTCCATTGATTTCTCGTGAACTGTGAGACTTTGTGTCATTCAATTTTTTCAAATTTCTTAAACGGCGAAAACCTGTATGATCATCATAGCTTCTTGATTGGCAGAGACTGTCCATTTTAGCATAAAATGTATGTTGCCGAATATCTTAACAGGTGAGAAATACACCTGATTTTTTTCCAAATCTATGATAAATTTTCATAAAGCTAGTTTAAGTGTGAAGTACTTCAATACATTGTACAATATATATATATAGTACTTAAATACATTGTACAATATATATATATGCTTTTGAAATTAATCAATTTTTTCTGTTTGAATTTTTTCAAGATTACATAATTTTGAATTAAAGGTTGTAATGTTTTGAACAATTATGCATATTTAATGTTTGTCAACATTTGTTTAACCATCATGATTATATATTCATTCTGCGGTTGAAATGATGTTTCCATTAACTCTTTCACCCCTATGTAACTTAAATCAACTCTACCATGCATTGATCTGGATAAGTCCATTATGGTCTATAGTGGTGAAAGGGTTGAAGAAGCTGGGTGGTTGTTGAGTAGGCATGCATCAAGGGTTTAAATTGTCTCTAATCCTTTATTTAATAAATGAGGGAAATTACAGGTCTTAACACTTCTGGTTGGGATTTTTTAAAAGAAAATTTTCCACATTTGGATTTCCTTTTCTCTGAATGCTCTTTCAACTTTTGAAATCTGTCGATTTAGTAAAGATTGTGTTTTTAATGACAAGTTGTGTTTTATCACTGAAATGTATTTCATTTTTAGAATGTTCAAAAAATGGCCCACAGATTAAAAATAAAAATTGCTCAATTCTTAAAATAATTCTCCGTCCTTTATGTTGGTCTAGTGTTTCACACACAGAATAAGGCTGTATTTTATTGTGGTATACAAATTCAACAAATAATTCTGTGTCAAGAATATGCTATCATTTGTTTGGTAGTGTCACATTCATAGTGTGATACTATCTAGCTGATAAAACCCTCAAGGCCCTGGAACCCACACCATGCATCCAACCAGAGAAAACATTTCTGAGATGAAAAAATATTTCTGGTCCATTTTGATCTGATTTGTCATAAAATCATTTTCTTTTGTGTTCTCTTTTAATATTTGATGCAATATTTAATATGTAACTTATCATATCAGTTTTTATATCATTAGAGTTGTTTCTCAATTTGTTTTTTTCACTTTCTGGAAATTTTACGAGTTGATATTAAAGGCAACATTTTGGCACAAAGTTGGAAACAAGACCCTTTATACTCTCTAGAGCGTAGGTGAGCATACCCCTCTAGATTATCGAGTATGTGATTAGCAGGGATCAAGCTAACAGGGGGATCTTCCTTACGACTGATTTCAAGGAATGTCACAAAATGTTGTCATTATCATTATTCTTTATTGGGTTCCAACGTTCATCCATTTTCTGTCAATATAAAGAATTACTTGTGTGTGATGTTTATCGTTTCTGTTGGTCATTTGCTGAGTCCGATAACCCTTTCATCCCTATGTAACTTAAATAAACTCTACCATGCATTGATCTGGATTAGTCCATTATGGTCTACAGTGGTGAAAGGGTTATTATATATACAATAGCCCTATGGAATGATATTATCGCAATTATTTTTTTCAGAATTATTTCCTGACCTTTTTTTAATAGAATGTATTAAAATTGTACTGTTTTACAGATATAAAGTAATTTTTTTATAAACAGCAATTGTCATCATTTCAATAGTGTGTTAATAGTAATTTGTATTTTAGTAAGACAAACATACCTCTAGTAATTATTAGCGCCATTCTAATGACGTCAGGTTTGATAACAAGCCTGTGCGCCATTTTGAGTGGCATTCTCAACGCAATTTCAACGTTTTCTGCTATTTTCTGGTATGATTGCTTATAAAAATATCATAACTGGTATATATATATATAAATACTTAAGTCTGTGTACCAAACATTTACCATAACAACCACTTATTCTACCGTCGCCTCATATGAATCTGAACAAAATATCGTTGCCTTTGAATGCAGCGAATAGAAGATACCGTTATGATTGGTCAATACTAAAAAGTGATATTTTCACACTGAAAATATCACTTTTGATATTTGTCACAGTGTGAATCAAGTTGATAGAATCCATATTTCACTGGCAAAAGTAATAAAATATTTTTGACAATATGAAAATTTTGTGAAAAAATATATCTTTTTAATTAGAATATAAATTTGGATTATGGTATACAATCTTCAGAATTTTCATTTGAGTACCTTTATATTTTTTTTTGTTTGAAAAATGCCTTTAATGAAATTGTAAAGAAATAGAAAATGAAACTTGACTTTTAAGCCATTCTTTCTGGGCAAGTAATTGTAGGATTTTTTTTCTTTTTTAATTCCAGACATATTTTAGAACTGCCTAATCCCCATAATGTATTTATTCAAATGTAAGAGGATATATCAACCAATTGCTAAACATGTTTCATTTTTGTGTAAAATATTTCCTCATATATAACTTGAAATAATGTCTTTTTGTGTCTAGTTGGAGGAAGAGAATATATATAAAGAAGGTGAGCGAGTGAGAAAAGAAATGCTGCTGATTTTTTTTTGTCCAAAAATTTAAATTATTTCATAAAACTTTTTTCAAATCTCTTATAAATCACATTTTCTTTGATGCAACATGTAAAGAGATTCAATAAAAAAACTGTTTAGAACCTTGTGTGAATTTGATACAAATTATTTTCTAACACAGATCCGCGTGTGATAAATTTCTCTTAACCTTTGACCCAGATAAATATCTTTAGGATGGAAAATCCGTTATTAATTATCAACTGTAGATCTTACGACACAAACTTTCCTGGCACTAGGAACTACCGGGTAGATTAAATATTTATTCAGAATGGGCACGATTGATTTTTGGGACACTAGTAGAACACTAAGGCCCCTTTCACTTATCTGGTTCAACCAGTGGAAACGGTTCAACCTGAAAGAAAACGACAGGCGCAGATCTGAACCGAGGCTGACCTCAGGAATATTTGGCATGTGTAGATTGAGGGGTCCAGATGGCCTGACCAAAACTAAAATGCTGACTATTGCTAGTTTGCATTATTTCTTTCTAAAACAATGTCAATCCAGATGCCGATTTTAAGATACGTTATATAATTTAGTGGAATCGTGAAAGAAGGACAAATTATTCTTGATATATTGTTATTTAGTCTACAAAACTGCATTTTTTAGCTCTGCCAATAGTTCGGCCCAAGTGCGTTTGTTTATCATGGAATATTTCTGCGCCACCTGAACCGTTTCAACCGGGATACGCTAATGTTACTCAGGTTATCACTTTTGAATGCTGGATTGAGTCAGGTTATAGAAAATTCGTAATTCAGGAGAATTTTTATTCCTGTACATTGTCATGAAATAAATTGTCATTAATGAAATATCGCAGTTGACTTAATGACTTTTTGTGTGAATGTTTTCAGACTAATTCAGCAATATTAAAAGCTTATCGGAAATATGTATGTGATGTGATGTAATATTTACTGTGTTGCAGGTAAAAAATTGCTTCACAAAACTTGAAGGATCTGCTACAAAACTTTTCAAGTTTACTTTAGACAAAGAAATTTTGAAAATCATACATCTTGTAAGTAAACATGTTTGTGTCAAAGGTTTCGGGAAATGGGGGTACCCCCGGTAATTGTATTATTTTGCATCAAATTCATTATTGAAAAAAATGTATATTATGACCATTGTCAATACACTTTTCATTACATTAGGCTGTATAAAATTGTTCTTAGTCTATAATTATAAATATTACTCGCATATTGACTTTAAGAATTCATAAACCATTAGTTGTATATAATATAAACTTAATTTATTTTACAACAATTATGAAACAAGTTATTTCAACTTATATTAATCACTTTTGTTGGCCCGGATGTTAGCGCATGGGGGGGTTTTAGTGTTGGAGGAAACCGGAGTGCCCGGAGAAAACCAACGTGGTCGGGCAGGTGACCCCAACCTTTTCAAGTCCGATCGGGGAATCGAACCCCGGCCGCCTTGGTGAAAGGCAAGTGCGCTATCCACTGCACCACCCAACCAATATTAGTTGTATCAGGAAGGTACTAGTGGAAAGCCTTTCCCGATGGAGAATTTGTATTTTGTATAAGGGGTATTGGCATATTTGTAGGTGTTGTTTATACATGTATCATATTGGACCAAGTCTGGGAGGAAGTTTGGTGGATTTTTTTTTTTTTTTAAATATCCCAGAATTTAATCGGAGCTATTTCTGTATCCTCTCAGTATTCGATATCTCTAAATTTTTCTGTAACTTGAAACTTAAACAGTTCAACCTTGTCGTACTGTAACCAAGCAAAATACTTGGTAATAATTAAGTTATTGAAGTTAGGGGGGTATACTGGAATCACCGTCTGTCGTCTGCAGTAACTTGTCCGGAAAAACTCCATCCTAACTAACAGGCAGTTTTTATTCAAACTTCACTTGAAAGATCAGTATATTACGAAGTTGTGCACAGTCATTTTAATTTTAGATTTCAACACTCTTTTTAAGGGAGTAACAGTCCTTTATGCGAAATAATTTGTCTGGAAAACTCTGTCTTAACTAACAGACAGATTTAAGATCACAAAATGATGTATAAACTACAAGCATCTGCGTATAAGTTATCCTCCAGATGACCATTCTAGTTGTATAATAAAGTAAAGGAACTGTCAAAGGGAAGAAAAAGATTGATTTAAAAAAAGTAGACAAGTGAGGTGACGAATGAAATGGCATTATACATGTATCAACAGTTTACTGTATAAGCTACTTGGTAGTACACAGTATTGCTGGGCAAACAACAAAAACTGCACAAAATATTACATGGACCGTTTCGAAACAAACATAATAACCATACTCAACCATATATATGCACCACGTGTGCTTAGTGAATTTGGAATGTTAGAAGAACCGATCAAAATTCTCAAAAAAATAGCCAAAATGGACACATTTTTTAAGAAGGTAAATTATGGTGAAGGGATGGAAAACTCAGAATAGAGAAAGGATAGGGGGTGCTGATGAGGGATGGGACTCTCCAATCAGAAAAGAGGAATGGGGGTACTTATTACACTGAGTACAGGCAGCACAATTCTCATTATTAGACAGAAAAAATACAATTAAATCTCTTGTGCCTTTTTGCTGTTCTTTTATTGACTATAAGTGTTGTACAACATGTATAAAAAAAAATCTCCTTTTAAAATCGCATACATGATATGTACCTTTAAACATTTCATATGTAGTTAGTAAGCTACAGCGCACAGAAGATGCTTATTTAAGTCTTTTGGGCATCCTCAAATCACGAGGGGTTATGCTTTGATACGTACACTGCAGCCCTGGAATATGTCCTGACAATATTGAAGGCTCTGTATACATGTAGACTACCATAGTTTGGTCATTGGGTTTACATCAAAAGCACTGTGAGACAGTGTTGTGTTAAAATTTACCTATTTTTAAGTTGGGCGTGGCTCGTCTGTTCTTTTCAAAGGACAGGTATATATCGGCCTAGGGAATGGTCAGGTTTTTAACCCAATACCAATCAATTAGCAAACCATGTGCCTTCGATATTGTCATGACATATTCCAAGGATGCAGAGAACGTATGCGAGTGTAACCTCGTGAATTTTGAGGATGATCTCCACTCTCCAGTGGGATGTAAAACTTAATAAATACAACCAAATTTAACCATCATTTATGTACACATATAGACAGTGGTCCTTGTTATCCAGATGGTTTTCTTAAATATATATATATAACTCATTCACCCCTACATATCTAAACTGGACTTGCCCGGTCATTGATTTGGTAAGGTTCAAATGTGACTTCAGGGGTGAATGAGTTACAAGTTTTATTGACAAATATCTTTTTTTTAAATAAATAGATGAAAGTGGTTTACATTGAAAACGTATATCTTAACTTGATGCAGTGACAGTGATTTTAACAGGTGTTCTAGAAGCCAGTTTTGACAAAAGTATTACACATTATTCAGTTATTTTCAGAGTGCTTAACTCATTCACCCCTGAAGACACATTTGAACTCTTCCAATTCAAAGGATGGAATAGTTCATTATGAAATTTCAGGGGTGAATGAGTAAACCCTTTCACCACTGTAGAACATAATGGACTCATCCATATCAATGCATGGTAGAGTCTACTCAAGTTACATAGGGGTGGAAGGGTTAAAAGTACATGTCCTTGTATCTTTTTACTGTAGAATTCACTTGAACACTTGCTGTACAATAATGTGCATGTAACATTTTATTATTGATATTTATTTCTTGTCTTATATAACTTATTAAAAGGACTGACACAATCTGAATGTAGTGTTGTGTTATTGTTTTCACATATTTCCAAATATTGTTGAATAAAAACCAACTAGCAATGTCAATAATTGCACACAATTAAACAAGCACATTACAATGGTGGATTTAAAAATTTCATATTACTCGACTTGACCAAATGTAATCGATTCAACTTTGTCATCAAGTATAAATAAAGACTACAATTATTATTATTATTTAGGGTTTTCACTCATCACAGCACTTTTTACTAAACTATTTCTGAAAAAAATAACGACTTTTTCACAAGTCATGTGCAAATTCTGCTTAAGTATTTAAAAAAATTCAATAGAAATGTACACAATATGTCTGGTGAAATAGTGATTTCATTTGATTATAATGTTAATAAATAAAAATATATTCAGTATTGCAAAACTTGATTTTAATTGAATGATAAATTTATTCTCTTCACGGGTGAAGGAGACCCTCCACCCCAAACACGCACACACACCTAAAATTATAAACGCACCAGGTATGTTCTAATGTCTAAATTATTATGTTACACCAACAAAAAACACAAAAACCTGTTTTGTACATCATATTATCTATAGTGATAACTGTGTTCTGTAACCTCTGTCAGTTACTTTGTCAAGGTAATTTAGAAGTCCCGCAATCGGATACAAGGCATACCAGGCACAAAAAAGTCACAAAGCCTTGATTTCCATAGAAAGTATATCACATAGTGATGGGCAATCGGTTAAAAATCATAATCGATAATTGGTTTGTAATCGGAAGTAGTAAAACCAATTGATGATCGATTGCATTATCGGTTTATAGTTTTTTGGGACTGAATACCCAAATAAAGTGAGAAAACTGCTATTACATCAATAGACACGAGCCGTTCACTTTAAATAAGGTTTTGCTCTGTATTAAAGAATGGCTATCAATGCAAGCAACTTTTATGCATTTTTATCAATCATATAGTATAAGTCATAAAAATATGTATATGACTACATGACTCGATACATTCTTCACATGGAAGACATTTAAATATTTTGATTTCAATGATAAACAGATTATATCGATTATGGAATTTTTAATCGATAATCGGAATCGGAAAGGGCAAGCCAATCGATTTTTAATTACTGTATAATCGATCATCAACCCATCACTATTTCACAACAAGACTAATCAAATCTAAGGATGATGTCAAGATGAACTTGTTATTACTTTAGTTATCAAATGAACTAAAAAAAAAGTCGGAAATACAAATCATCTGTTTATGGCATGTTTCACTCATCTCATTCGCCCCTGAATTTCATAATGAACTATTCCAACATTTGAATTGGAAGAGTCCAAATGTGTCTTTGGGGGGTGAATGAGTTAAAATCATGTGTTCCTCCTACATGTAAGAAGTGAAAGTCACTGTATAATATATAATTGAAAAAGTTATCAAAATTAATTTTACTTCATTGTTTTAAACATGTCTGTTATAAAATAAATAAAAGTTTACCATTGTTGGAAACATCCTTAAGTGTCACCAACAGAAGACATAACTTAACCCTTTCACCACTGTAGACCATAATGGAGTCTGCTCGAGTTACCTAGGGGTGAATGGGTTAAAAGTGACTTAACATTTGGGACAGATATTTTAGTTTTAGAGTCCTAATCAAAATTATGAAAATGATGTTTAGGTGATGTTTATGAAAAAATCCTACAAAAATCACTGACAAGATTCATGGTCCCTTCCAGCATCCAGCTGATGCTAGGTAATTAATGACTACATTGTTTTTTTTATAACAAAAACAAACATGTCTCTCAACCCTGTAATTTATAATTTTAAGACAGCTTTTCTGGGTTTCACATACGCTATAACATTAAATTACCATATTTAACATGTAAAGCGACAGTTTTGCAGACCAGATGGGCCTGGCTATATTAGTCCCTAGAAATAGTGACCGTTTCTCTATTCAGAAAAAAATTGTTTAAAATGTTTCATACAAATGACCTTATTGCCAGTTAAATGTGTAATGTATGGGTTTACTTTTAAAATAGATGCTGAGATTTGATATCTGGAAATTTAACACCACATTAAGTTCATAGTAACCATCTCAACAAGCCCCTAGTGACCATTGGAATTACAAGCCCCTGGTGACCAGTGGTATTACAAAACCTCAGAAAGACCTTACTGTCTAAAGATAGAACAAGATCTCAACAAGCCCCTAGTGGCCAGTGGTATTACAAGCCCCTGGTGACCAGTGGTATTACAAAACCTCAGAAAGACCTTACTGTCTAATGAAAGAACAAGATCTCAACAAGCCCCTAGTGGCCAGTGGAATTACAAGCCCCTGGTGACCAGTGGGATTACAAAACCTCAGAAAGCCCTTACTGTCTAAAGATAGAACAAGATCTCAACAAGCCCCTAGTGGCCAGTGGAATTACAAGCCCCTGGTGACCAGTGGTATTACAAAACCTCAGAAAGCCCTTACTGTCTAATGAAAGAACAATATCTCAACAAGCCCCTAGTGGCCAGTGGTATTACAAAACCTCAGGTGACCAGTGCTATTACAAAACCTCAGAAAGCCCTTACTGTCTAAAGATAGAACAAGATCTCAACAAGCCCCTAGTGGCCAGTGGAATTACAAAACCTCAGGTGACCAGTGGTATTACAAAACCTCAGAAAGCCCTTCCTGTCTAATGAAAGAACAAGATCTCAACAAGCCCCTAGTGGCCAGTGGAATTACAAGCCCCTGGTGACCAGTGGTATTACAAAACCTCAGAAAGCCCTTACTGTCTAATGAAAGAACAAGATCTCAACAAGACCCTAGTGGCCAGTGGAATTACAGCGGAACAATTTACAAGACATCAAGTCTCTTGTGACCAGTGGGCATACAATATCACATCAAGCCTCTAGTGACCTTTGATGGTCAGTGGATTTACAAAAACTACCAAAAATTCTGTACTGACCAGTGGACTTACAATACTTAAAACACAATTATATATATATATACCAGAGTCAATTGATGACACTTTCTGTGAAAGGCGAATGCCATTTTCCCACTGCACAGATGTTCGAATATATACTCTATTCTAGTAAATATCCATTTTTTTAACTGTTATTCAAACAAATAGGGGTGAGACAAGTAACATTTTCATCCTTCAGCAGGTTTAGAATCATTGCTAGCAATAGGGAACTCCCTCTTCGTCCTGGTGACTTCAATTGTTCCAAGGTTCAAACCGTTACTCGCAAAGTTCTCAGGACTTGTGTCAAATTTGTGAGTAACTTTCAGGTTAGAATGCGTCTGCTTTAATTCTTCAATGGTATCCTGACTGGCTTTAATTGCCTCCGTTCCTTTCTGATACGAAGTAATGATTCCAACCGGATCATTCGAAGCCATCGCTTTCTCTGTTGAAACCCTGGCGTCATCCATGTCTGATTTTATGGCGGCACATTTTTCAATCTTGGTTTCCAGCTGCTTTTTTTCTTCGCTGTAAGTCTGATTTACCTTGTCTGTAAGCTCCTTCTGTAATTTATCCAGACGTTCGTCAAACTCTGTTCTCAGGTTCCGGGTTGTTTCCAGGAGATGTCCTTTTCTGTTTGACAGTAGTCGCAGTCTGCGTCCATAATCGTTGATCAGTGCTTCAATGTCCCTGGCTATTGTAGCTGCCGAACTGTCTATACCACCGAACGCACTCATAGTTTCTGAAAAACTTTCCGAAACTGGTGTTGCTGTAGCTTCAGTGTCACCATTGCCGTCAGTTTCTACATAAGTCGCAGAGGTTCCTGTTTCTACACCAGATGGCTCGGTTGTGTTTTCAGTCTCTCCACCAGATGGCTCTGTCGTGTTATCAGTCACCCCACCAGATGGCTCTGTCGTGTTTTCAGTCTCTCCACCAGATGGCTCTGTCGTGTTTTCAGTCTCTCCACTTTGAGATGGCTCATCTGTGTCTCCAGAACTCTGCTGAGAACCAGAATCATTTCCTCTTCTCTTGTTCTTTCTTCCTCTTGGCATTGTGGTCTAAATTATCCTTGATGATCTGTAAAAACAAAACAGAATTTGTACAAATCAACCTAACAATTTATACATATTAATCACAACAAGACAAGTTATGAATTATAAGATTTGAACAGAATTATATACTTCTACTTCTGAATGGTACTGACCAACTTCAACAATTTGAAGATAAAATGTCAGACGAGGAGTGAAACATGGAAAGAGATTGTTTTTAAAAGATACGAGATGGTCTAATTTGCGTTTGAAAAGTGACGGTAGAGGGCTGATTTGAATAATTCCGTTGTGGGGCTCGAAATAATGTCAGGTGGGAGTTTATTCCACTCGGGTATAGTTTGAGGGAAGAATGATGCCTTTCTGGTCTGGGATTTTGAGTAGGGAATTTGAGCTTCTCTACGTCTATCTGCTAGAAGGCGCAGCTTTAGGTGGTCCAGCATTTCTGTCACACTGGAGGTACGATGGTTGTACCTGTGCTTATTGAGCACATAGAGCGCTGCCCTTCACTGGATGATTTCCAACTTGTCAATATTTGTTTGGGTGTGAGGGTCCTATACTGTACAGGCATACTCAAGTGATGGTCGAACTACTGATTTGTATGCCTGTACTTTGGCGCATGTTGAGCCAATTTTAAGATTTCATCTTAAAAAGCCTAGCGTAGAATTTGTTTTTGGGCAGATAGTATTTATATGTGAATCCCATTTAAGGTCAGATTATAGTGTTACACCCAGATACTTGGCCTGACTAAGATGTTCCAGTATGTGTCCATGTAAAGTATAATTATGGACTATTGGAGTTTTGTTTTTAGTCACCGACAATACATTGCATTTGTTTGGGTGGAAGATCATTTTCCATGTATTTTCCCAGAGCGCTAGTTTGTCAAGATCTTTTTGAAGTGTTTCAGCATCACTGTTAGACTTGATAACTAGATATGCAATAGTGTCGTCTGCAAGTAAATGGATTGTAGCATTTAGACCCACAGGGATATCATTCACAAAGTAAAGAAATAAACTGGGTCCCAAAACTGACCCCTGGGGTACCCCGGAATGGACATCGACAAAATCAGACTTCTCCCCTTCAACTACTACTGTCTGAGTACTAGTTCTACCGGTCAGGAAACTCTCGATCCAGTTTGAGACATTTCCACGTATACCATAATGTTTTAGTTTATGGTTTAGGAGAGAATGACTGACCTTGTCGAAAGCCTTAGCAAAGTCCATTATGACGATATCTGTTTTGCGTCCCTCATTAAGATTCTTTGAGATGTCATCCACAAATTCAAGAAGTTGGGTTTCGCATGATCTTGATTTGCGAAAACCATGTTGGACGGATACAATATGTTATGGGTATTGGCATGGGTCATGATAGTTGAGACCACAATGTGTTCCATAATTTTGCTACAGATACAGGTCAGAGATATGGGCCTGTAGTTTTCTGGGTGAAATTTTGGACCCTTTTTATAAGCAAGTGATACATTTGCAGATTTCCAGTCTGAAGGCACTATGCCTGTTTCCAGAGACTGATTAGATATTAGGGTTAAAATCGGGGCTATTTCTGTTGCAAGCTCTTTAAGTACTCTGGGTTAGATGTCATCAGGGCCCCGAGGCCTTGTATGGATTTAGGCCTTGGAGCAGTTTTTAGACGCACTTTTCATGTATAGAAATTTCAGGCATGGCAGGGTATTTATCGTGAGTAGGCATGTTGGATCTAGTGCGAAACTGCTGGTCGGTAAAGATTTCAGGAGGAGTAAAAACAGATTGAAATTGTGCGTTTAGCACCTGGGCCTTGGTGGTAGGGTCATAAACAAGTTTTATATAGCACTGTCTGTACTTAATTAATTGTAGCATCTTGTTATTTGTACTTCAATACGCAGATATTACTGTCAGTGTTAAGTAATGGTAAATCGAAAGTATGGCAACGCTTTGTTCTTTTATATTGTTCAAGGTAACATATGACTAACTTATATATATATATCTCAACTATAAAATCATGTGAACAACTAACTCCCACTTCTCCAAGGATAATATAAGCAGGGCTAAGCAACGCTAACTCTTAAATTTTAGATTGTACATGCAATTTTGTTATATATATGATCATGGCTTACCCAGAGACATGAAAATATACCACTTCGTCAAAGCACGTCCTTGCAGGTCTTTTGTTGTTTATGAAATTTAACATTAAAACCGATCGCTGGTTCATATATCCGGTACTGTTGACGGGAGAAAACTCTTATTCAATGTGTATTTTTAAGGGAGATAACCCATGTTTTCTTAAACGATTTCAGTACCTTTTATCTTATACCGTCATCTATCAAGAAGATGGTGGTCTGGTCTGCTCTGACATGTCTTGTTTTTTAACATCAGTCGTTTTTGTCGGATGTAAAGGAAAATACTAGTATGATATTTTGTAACTTATTTTACAGCATTATATCATATATGCTGTTTTTCTGTATTTCCTTTTTGTTTTTCTTTCTTGCTGTTATTTAAAAAAAAAAACAAAAAACGTAGGAGTATTGCAATTTTATAGATGTTGAAAAGCTGTATACGGGTCATGCTATTTCTATGTGTGAATACAGTCTACTTCAAAATATATATGTATCTACATTGACATACCAATTTAACATAACACTTTCTATGTGTTGTGATTTATGCCAAAATAGGCGAGGATCCATATTTGGCTGTAATGTTATCTGTTTTGCGGAAAGAAATTGAATATTATATTTTCGTTTTATGTGTTTGTATAATGCCGGAATTAACTTTCTATTATTTCTCACGAATGCAAAGCATTCAGTAAATACTTCACGCACGCACCTCTGAAATTTTCATCGGGGAAATTCCTCATGCTCAAAATTAAAAACACACATAAAATATGTGTAGATAGCACATAAGAAAAATCGACACTTCAATATAGCATATTTTGATTTTGTTCGTTAGATCAAATTATTAGATCTTAGAATGTAGGAAAAAATAAATGTAAGGGTCCAAAATCGTGTGTGTCTCTACAGAATAGAGAGAGTTTGCAAGTGTGCATACGTGAAAACTGTAAAAGAATTCCTCTTGTTCACGAAAACTATTCAAACGATGAGTTGAATACAAGTAAAGCTTTATATTTTAGTTATAAAAAGTACTAATCAAATGTTCCTGTCACTTCAGTTAACATGAACTTTTGCTGTTTGCTTGAATACAAATTCCCAGACTGGAAAATAAATTGTATAATATACTTAATTTTAAAAACACCTGGACCCCAGCACTTCACTGCATCTAGCTGAACTACTGGTACATGTGAAAATTACGACGGGTTTGTAACTCGTGCATGGGAGACATTTTAAAGTCTGTGTCTCGATTTAGCCTTACTGAGTTATATATATCTACAATTAGTATAGTATGTGATTAAAATGAAACAACCACACGACGGAAAGGGAGACTATGTATGGGGTCTACCGTCACAGTAGTTCCTAATGTCGGCATCTGAAACAATTAAATGTGAGGATGGTCACTCCCTGCACAAGATAAAACATAAATGGTTTTCTCCCACCTCTATGTACGATACACGTGTACCATAAGGAATACTCATGAAGGATACGTATTTCTCTTACTACAGATAGATGAATCCACACGTTTTCCGGTGTGAGATATCCTTTTCTTGCATACTAGACTGAGATATCTGCATTTCCGGCGGTGCTGGAAAATTCTATCCGACCCACGGGTCTGGATCGCTTACACACGCAGTCTGGCAGTTTACAAATTAACTAGAAGAGTAGCTGTTTTTACGGGTTTTAGGTAATAAGCAAGACATATACTCTATCCCTGATGTGAGGAAAGGATAAGGTTATTCAAACCCTCGAGATAAAATATTGAGCAAAAGACCCTCGGCAAAGCCTCAGGTCTCATGCTCAATATTCTATCCGTTGGGTTTGAATAACCCTATCCATACCTTACATCAGGGATATATTCTATTAATCTCACTCCCAAGGGATGAGAGATTCTATTAATCTCACTCCCAAGGGATGAAATGTTTTATTAATCTCACTCCCAAGGGATGAGAGATTCTATTAATCTCACACTGTAAAAAGTGTGGATATTCCTTTCTCCCACCCTTCACAAGTACAGTGTGTCTCCCGTTTTAGCCAGGAAAGATCAGCTTGTCACCCCTAGGGGGAGATAGCCTCGTGCCGATTAGCACGTGTAATACGTCACCAGTAATTGTGACGTCATCAAAAGTGAATGGCGATATTCATATCACACATGTGTTTTTGTTTACAAACATGGCAGACTACTGTCGGTGGAGTTGTGACTGAAATAATTAATAGAGTGGGAGAAAAATAATCATCCCCTACCTTGAGGGTGTGACAGAAAAATCTCCTACCCGAGGGTGATGTTTTTTGGTTTTCTAACCGGAGGCTCTGCCTTAACCCCCTTACCCGAGGGTGATGTTTTTTGGTTGTCTAACCCGAGGCTCTACCGAGGGTTAGACAACCAAAAAATCAACCCGAGGGTTGGATATTTCTCTGTCACACCCTCAAGGTAGGGGAAGATTCTATTAGTCCATGGTAAGAGAAATCCTTGTCTCACATTAGGGTTGAGACGGGTTGATTCCCCTGTCCATAACATTCTCTTACCCTCGACAGCTCTTATCTTACACACACGGAAATGAGAGAAATCCTTGTATCACCCTGGGGTTGAGATGGGGGAATTCCCATATTCATAACATTTGTATGACGTCACATCAACAATGCATCAACATCACTTAACGTAAACCCTGAAATTAGCCTGTAACGTTAACAGTACGATATGATACACAGAGGGTGAACAAGGTAAGAGAAAAGAATCATTCAATCCCTGGAGGTGAAAGTGGGAATCTCAACCCTCGGGGAAAGATTCTTAAGTTGCCAAACAATCGGCAAAGCCTCGTGTTTAGCAACTTTAGAATTCCCCCTCCCCCTCACTGTCGGGTTAAGATCCCCATATTTCACCCCAAGGGGGCGAGAGATTCTATTGATGCAACATGGATGCACTCAGTGACTCAGGTGACACCTACAGAACATCAAAAATTGTGTTCAAGCTTTCTTTAAATTTGTGGTATATATTTCCTTTGGTAAACTATACTTTTTTCTGTTATTTCCGAATATGGCCTTATTGTGTATATACATGATCTAGAATTTTTGCTATACTGAGTGTTGCCTATGTATTTTTATTATGGCGCTTTTTTCAAAATATCATTTGAGCGGAGGGAGAAAAAGAGCCAACCATTATGTAGGTATTTAAGATATGGAAATTTTTACCCGAGGGTGCAGAATTGGGTGTCAGAACCCGGGAAAGTCTCAGTTCTGACCTATTTTCTATACAAGTCCTCGGGTAGGACACCAATTTGCCACATACCTACATATGATATTCCGTCTTTGCGTATTGCAGAGTTATCTTCCCTTGGGAGCAGGTATTGATTGTTACGTCACTTGTTTGTGAGAGTAACGTCATCATTTTTTGAGAAAACGCCGTAATTTTCTCGCACAAACCAATGACGTAACAATCAATACCTGCTCCCAAGAAAAGACAAATCTGCAATACGCAAAGACGGAATAGTCTACTAGTATTTGTCATCGTTATAAAGGAGGGAGAGGTGGTCGAAGGGAGAGGCTGTTACGCCACGGTTTACCACCCCTACACAATTTCTCACCTCTTGTGAGAAATCCTGCTAAAATTGCTGCATTCGCAACGCGATTTCTCTACCAGATAGTGTTAATAGGAGCAGGTCCATTGGCCACTGACACGTAAAAACACTGAAGTCGGCTTTGGGTGATTATGATATATTTATCACACTAATCAATATGTGTTACGTTGTGCTTATTGATTTGATACGTAACGCTGAAGCGCAAATTATAACGCAAGGCAATTTTGCGGATCGTGCAATGACGCAAACTTTCCGTTTCCTTTGCGCCCTTCTTACACGAAATCCTGGATCCGCGCCTGGTATAGACCTTACCCAGGCAGTAACATGCACGGCCATGTGCACGTGGGTGTTTTATATCAATATTTCATCACGTGGCTTGTCACAGCCATCTGGGATAAAGATCCATAAAAAAATCGTCGAAATTGCTTCGCAAGATATTTTTGATAAACTACTTCCATTCTGAGCAGTTGCGGCAATAAAACCGCCATCACGTATAATCGGGGATGTGCAGTTCTATGTATAGCAGATTCTGGCATCACTTGCTGCACTGTTTACATGGTTCATGGTCTTATGCTCGTGCAAAGCTCGTGCATGCCAAATACAGACCGCACACATCACTCTCTATGTCGTTTTGGGAACAAGCTGGCATCTTACCATAGGTCTTCTTATCAATAGAACACTCAAACGTTATTTACGTCTATCGCAAGAAAAGATCTGATTCCCGGTATGCTAACCCTTATATACATTTTAACTCAGGAACTTACGGATATGAAATAACGTTCAGTCTCACGCAAGCTTCAACCACTGAGGAACTCAATAAACGTTATTCAATTGCTTTTGATGACTTCAGCACATATGAGCATTTTCCCCCTGATTAAATTGAGCGATTGCACGACAGATTTAAATAATTACAGTTTAAAAGGTTGAAGGAGTGTCTCTTTCGCAAAAAATATCCCAACTTTTAATTGTTTTCCACAAAAATAATATGCATACGTGATATCATACATCTACTGCCGTTGTTGAAGGTAAATCGAATATTTGTTTCCTCTGAAGTTATGATGTTTCACTCGGGCTTCTTGAAACATTATTCATCTCGGGGAAACAAAGAAATGTGTTTCCCTGCCACAGAGACAATACCTATTTTATGATACCGAAATAAAACATTAACACAACACTAATAATGACCTGGCTCCAATAGAGTTGCTTGCTTCAGTTACTTGAACTAAGGTGTGGATCCCCTGGCTCATTTTTCTAGAGTCTTCCAATTAGGGAAATATGACAGGAGGAACTCGAGCGCGATAGACAAACACGATATTTTATTTCCTCGTCATGTTATAGCTATAATCTAATCAGACACGCTGTTATATAAATGAAGTCGTTTGCTTAATTAGATTGTCAGTTGTCAAGGGTACGGATGTGTGAATCACATGCGCACATGACATTAATTTTACGGATAGCGTGTGGAGCCAGGATGTCAGACAGTGTGTTTTAAATGTACTTGTAAATAGCACAGCGATTAAAACTCTA